TCCTCCTCACAGTTCCAAGGTAGAAAAGAGTGCTTGTGGTCACTCATAGACCAGAGCATAAGCCAGGAAAGGAGTAACACCTTACCCTTGATAGTAGCAACTTGGAAGAACTGAAAACTTACAGGTCCCTAGAAGTGTCTCTGAAAACAGCTGCACAAAACTCCTAAAGCTTAGGATAGCACATTATCCACACTGGAGAAGACCCTTACCTTAACAAATTTTAAAACTCAAGTAATTGACTGGGATCATGAGCAAACTATGCAAAAAAGTCAGACCATAGAATCTTTCTTTGGTAACAAAGATCAAAACATACAACCAGAAGAAGACAACAAAGTCAAAGCTCCTACATCCAAAGCCTCCAAGAAAAATATGAATCAGTTACAGGCCACAGAAGAGCTCAAAAAGGATTTTGAGAACAAGCAAGAGAAGTAAAGGAAAAACTGGGAAGAAAAATGAGAGTGATGCAAGAAAATCATGAAAAACTAGTCAACAGCTTGCTGAAGGAGACCCCCCAAAAAATGCTGAAGAAAATAACAACTTAAAAATAGCCTAACCCAAATGGCAAAAGAGGTCCAAAAAGCCAATGAGGAAAAGAATGTCTTCAAAAGCAGAATTGGCCAAATGGAAAAGGAAGCCCAAAAGCTCACTGAAGAAAATACTTCCTTAAAAATTAGAATGGAGCTATTGGAAGCTAGTGACTTTATGAGAAATCAAGATATAGTAAAACAAAACCAAAAAAATGAAAAAATAGAAGACAATGTGAAATATCTCATTGGAAAAGCAACTGACCTGGAAAATAGATCCAGGAGTGAATAATTTAAAAATTATTGGACTATCTGGAAGTCATGATCAAAAAAAGAGCCTGGACTTCATTTTTCAAGAAATTATCCAGGAAAACTGCCCTGATATCCTACAAATAGAAATTCAAAGAATCCACCAATCACCTCCTGAAAGTGTTCCCCAAAGGAAAACACCTAGGAATATTGTAGCTAAATTCCAGAGTTCCCAGATCAAGGAGAAATTATTGCGAGCAGCCAGAAAGAAACAATTCAAGTATTGTGGAAACACAATCAGGATAACACAGGATTACACAAGACAAGAGGGCCTGGAATACGATATTCCAGAGGGCAAAGGAGATAAGATTACAGCCAAGAATCACCTACTCAGAAAAACTGAGTATAATCCTTCAGGAGAAAAGTGGACATTCAGTGAAATAGAGGACTTTTAAGCATTCTTGATGAGAAGATCACAGCTGAATTGAAAATGTGACTTTCAAATACAAGACACAAAAGAAGGATGAAGAGGTAAACAGGAAAGAGAAATCATAAGGGACTTATTGAGGTTGAACTTTTTACATTCCTACATGGAAAGATGATATTCATAACTCATAAGACTTTTGTCACTATTAGGATAGTTGGAGGGAAAAATTTATGTATAGATAGATTGATAGAGAGAGGGCACAAGGTGAATTGAAGATGACGGGGTGATATCTGGAGAATGAAATTAAGGGGTGAGAGAGGATTATACTGGGAGAATGAAAAAGGGAGAGGTAAAACGGTAAATTTTCTCACATAAAACAGACAAGAATAGGCTTTTACAATGGAGGGGAAGTGGGAGAAAGTAAGAGGAACGAGTGAATCTTATTCTCATCAGAGTTGTCTTAAGGAAGGAATAATATACACACTCAATTGGGTATGAAGAGCGATCTTTTCCTACAGGAAAATAGGGGGGAAGGAGAAAAGAGAGTGGGGAGATTATAGAGGGAAGGACAGATTGGGGGAGGGGTAATCAGAAGCAAACACTTCTGAGGAGGGACAGGGTCAAAATAGAGAATAGAATAAATGGTATGTGGAATAGGTTGAGGGGAAATATAGTTAGTTTTCTACAGCACGACAACTACGGAAGGGTTTTGCATGACTACGCATGTTTAACCTTTATCGAGTTCCTTGCTTTCTCAATCAGAGTAGGTGGGGAGGGAGGAAGGTAGAAAATTTGGAACTCAAAGTTTCAAAACCAAATGTTAAAAAAATTGTTTTCACATGTAACTGGGAAATAAGATATACAGGTAATGTGGTATAGAAACCTCTCCTGCCCTACAAGAAAATAGAAGCAGGGTGGGGGGGGGGAAGATAGAAGAGAGGGCAGATTAGGGGAAGGGGTATTCAGAATGCATGCCATCTTGGGGTGGGGAGAGGGGCATGATGGGGAGAAAATTTGGAACTCAAAATCTTGTGGAAGTGAATGTTGAAAACTAAAAATAAATAAATTAATGAAGCTTTTAAAAAAAGAACTCTAATAACCATTCTTCCAAAAGAACATGGAAAGCCATTCATTTATCTTCTCTCCCAAGGGAAGACAAAAAATACAAAAATTTTCCTGTATAGCGGGTCTCAAACACAATTGAGAAAACTAGAAATACTCAATGGTATTGGAGTTGTGCTGTACCTTTGTATTTTTGTAGGCCCTTATTTCCAATTTGGAATTTTTTTTTCTTTTTAAGGAAAGGGTAGCATTTTGTTGAGTAGTGTGGTACTTATTTGTGGATGAATGAATCAATGATGAATGGAAATAATTCATGGAGTGATGACTATTTGCTAAAGTACATTGCCAAGTGCTTCGGCTACAATACCACATTGTGACAGTATCTGCCCTTGGTATTTTCTAGTGGGTGAAGCAAGGCCTGGGAAAGTTACATTCTAGAAGACACAATCCTGATGACTGGAACAGTAGAACAACTATTGTCATTATGTTCCAGAGACAATGATAGTGGTGATTTAATTGCAGTTCTCTGAGTAAAAAATTGGAAAGGGACGGGAAATTTGCATGTGGAAAATGGCTAGAGTGAAGATAAGGTTCATGCCCCAGTGAGTACAGAACCAAATGGCTTGGTTCATCTTAGGCTAGCCTCCAATGGTCTGCTTTGGAGGGTAAGGCACCTCTAAGAGTAGCAGGATGGAAAGTGCAGCATAATTTATGTATCTTTTTTTTCATATCTCACTTTCTGTGACAGAGGATTGGCAGCTATATAAAACAAAAAAGCATAGAATATTATGGCAAATTTACACAAATTACACAAAACTAAAAGATTCAGATTATCTGATTGTCCTGCTAATTAGATCACATATCTTAATAAGTCACAGGGTTTCATTAGTACCTGTTTTTCTGCCGCTTGTTTCAACCTTCCACACTACTGTCCCAATGAAGTAATGAAGAGCCCTTTAAATCCAACACTACTTTAAAAGGAGGTGAACTTGGTTTCATCTATGTTAATTTTCCCGTTATCTGTTCTGATGCACCAATTTGGGTTTTGGCTTGTACCATGTCCCCATGTGTGATTCATTCTGATTCTGGATTGGATTTCCTCTCCACCTTCAAGGGCCTTACTACACCATATAGTAATTCCTGAATGCTTTTGATTTTTAAAAATGGATATATGTGTATTCTTGCTCAGCTAACTTAACCAGCTTTCCCTTTCCCTCCTTGGGGAATTCAGGTTTTCCCAATTGTAGTGCAGGCTGCCTTCTTCTGGATTCCATCACTTCACTTTGATCTTTGGCTTAGATGAAATTTAATAACCTGAATCTCTATCTTGGTTTTAGCATCATCTGCCCCCAAGCTGGCCACTTTTTGAAATTAACTGCCAAGTACGCTTCTCTGATCCTAAGCTTCTCTCAGGCAGTTATTTGAACCACTAATTTATCTGTAAAACATCTGGTCATAGAAGGCTAACTCTTGGTTACTAAGCATTATTTGCTCAGAGCTGACAGTTTTGAAGCCTTGTAGACTTATGTCAATAAGTCAATCTCATAGAACCTTTTGGCTATATCTGATTCTTCTGTAAACATGTAGATTCTTCTAAATAGCTAGAATAATAATAAATTTAATCTCAGTTGTGTCAACAGATATTTATTGAACACTGAACATCACCAGTAAGTTTTAGTGCTAGAAAGAAATTTAGAAACCAGGCATATAAACCATTCATTTTATAGATTAAAAAACTGAATTCTGGAAAGGTCAAGTAACTTGCCCAAGGTCATATCATCAATGGTAGAACTAACCCAATTCTGATTTAAAGCCAGAGTGTGTTACACAATAGCACCCTTGTGTCTTTCACTGGTACTTGAAAAAAAAATTTTCTTAATTCTTTATTCTATATCATTGTTTTTTTCCTGGTGAAAATGGGGACCCAAAACATATACTTTTTTTGTCAAACAGAAAAGAGAGATGGAAGAAGTTGATAAAGGCTGAAAAGTGTTATGAATAACTGGAACTAGCAGTAAAGTAAAATAGTGGATAGAATAGTAGATAAGAGGTAGGAAACCCCAATTTTAAATCCTGTCTTAACACTTTTTAGCTATGTGATTCTGGGCAAGTCACTTAACTAATTTAGTCTGTTTCCTTATCTGTAAATGAGGATAATAATGGCACCTCCTTGAAAATGTTTCTTTTAGGATCAAAATAGACAATATATAACATGACATATGTACCTTAAAGTACAATATACACATACACATATACATTTTTGTCATCAGAGGCAGTAGCAGTATTCTAATATTTTTTCTAGCTGTAGAACATACATGAGAAAATGCTAGGAAATACAGTCTCTTATTACTGAGCAAAGTTGCATAATTAAATTAGAAATCCAATCCTGATAAGATATTTTTAAACAAGCCATTTAAAAATGAGTCTAAGCTAAAATTTCCACAAATAGGTGACACTTATGGGTGACTTTTATTTAGTCCAAATTGGCTAGTTTCTGCATCACTTATGACAACATCATGAGACTTGTATAGCTCATCACATTTGGAAAGATCCCAATGCTAACATCCTAGATCTCTTGCAAAGTAACTGGTAAAATATGATGTAATCAATCAAAACATGAAGCATTCAATTCTACAGATGTACCAATTGTGTATAAATAAAGACATAATCTGTTTGAGTAATAACATGAGGAGAATGTAATAATCAGACTTGGTACCTAGCAGATGGAAGATTGCCAGTGTTATGTAAGCATGACTGCAACATAAATGCTATTTCATGAGATATTTTTCTGTTTGTCCAAGAGGGTGAGAGAAATGGTGATATACACTTGAAAGTTGCCATGGATGGATAGGAAAAGTAGATGAGGATTTAAGCACTGAAAAGCAATAACAGTAAATGAGACTGGTAAGATTCCATTTGGAAAGAATGTATTGGTTAAATTTCTGATAAAAATTTCTTAGTTAAAACAAACATATCTATTCCTTACTTAAAGAAAAAAACCCTGGATATTATTTTACATAGTTGACCACTGATTATAGGTAGACATGAAGTGATGGGATCTATTACTTTAATAATGCTCTGGAAAGTTACCAACCTTATTCAAAAGTGAACTATAGGTTTAAATGAAAGCATGTGTGCAGGAACAATGTGTAACTATAGAAACATAAGCATGTATCTATCTATCTATCTATCTATCTATCTATACTTACATATATATATTACAACTTTAAAAATTAATTTTATTTTCAATGAAGAAGACTTTATTTTTCTTTTCCTCTTCCTCATTGAAAAGAAAAAAAAAATGTAATACATAGAAATATTCAACCAAAACAATTACCACATAGTCTACATCTGTCTCATACTACATCTTGAATCTATTACCTCTCTTTCAGGAGGTGGGTAGTATACTTCATCACTGATCCTCCAGAATCATGTTTGGTAATTTCATTGATCAGAGTTCTCAAGTAGTTCAAAATTGTTTATCACTATAATATTTTTGTCATTGTATGAATTGTCCTTGTGGTTCTGCTCACTTCACTCTGTATCATTTCACGTGAGTCTACCTGGGTTTCTATGAGCCCATCACTTTGATCATTTCCTTTATCACAATAGTGAACAAATTATAGTACATAAATCTAATGGTAGCATCGTGTATTAAGAAGATATACTAATAAAAGGAAATTCAGCAATTAGAAGAAAAACATCATGAAAACTCTTTGGATGCAGATAAACTGAAGCCTAAAATAGAAGCAATATTGTTGCTGGAATATATTTCAGACTATGGAGACAGAAAGAGGGATTAGGTTACAAGGTTTACAAACCTGAAGGGGAAAGTCTTGTTACAGTAATAAGGAAAGAATTCAGTTATCCAGAAATTTGATGAGACTTCTCTTCTTGGTGCATCTTAATGATGATTTCAACCTTCCCAGTGGAAGAATAAACAAGGAAATCATGTATTCTGAGCTAAGTTCTCACTAAGAAGGAAAAAAAAAAGGGTTGCTGGGAAAGAAATGATGGACATTTGCTGTTGTTGTTGTTGTTGGGGAGAGGAGTGAATATTCCAACTTAAAATTCATACTAAAGAAACAGAGAAAAGCTGAAATTAACATAACTTGTAGCAAAGATTTTTTGGAGAGATTTCAAAGGTTTTACCCAACATATGATTAGGAAACCATTGCCTAAAATTCTTTAGTGGGGTATAAGCCCAGGAGAGATGAGAAGCTCTCAAGAATGAAGTTTTGTTTGTTTCTTTTTTTATTTTTTTTTCTTTTTCTTTTTCTTTTTTTTTTTGGTTAGGTAGTGGGGTTAAGTGACTTGCCTGAGGTGACACAGCTAGTAAGTGTTATGTGTCTGAGGTCAGATTTGAACTCAGGTCCTCCTGAATCCACAGCCAGTGCTCTATCTGCTGTGCCACCTAGCTGCCCCAAGAATGAAGTTCCGAAGTCACAGGAAATGATACCAATGAGGAAGAAAATGAGAATTGATTAGAGAGACCAACCAAAATATACTTGGAATTCAGCAACCAGCTCAGATTTTAATATGACATATAAAAGATGGAATCAAGAACAGGTAATGAAAATTGAATACAAAGGTAGCAAAATACTGTGACAATAGGGACAGCTAAAACCAAAATCCCCAATTAAACACCAAGTTTGAAGTCTCGAAAATAAAAGAAAATATTAATAAAATTGAAAGTAAGAAAACCACTGAATTAATAAATAAAATTTGAAGCTAGTTTTATGGAAAAACAGTAAAATGGATAAATAATTGATTAATTTGATTAAGAAAAGAAGAAAACCAAATTACCAGTATCAAATGAAAAAGGCAAATTAACTTCCAGTAAAGACAAAATTAAAGCAATTCTTCAGCGTTTTGTTGCCCAATTATATGCCAATAAATCTAACAAATGAAATGGATAAACATTTACAAAACTATAAATTACATAGTTTAACAGAAGAAGAAAAATAATACTTAAAAACCTATCTTAGAAAAAGAAATTGAACAAGCCATCAATGAGTTCCCTAAAAACAAATTTTCAGGACCAGATGGATTCATAATGAATTCTATTAAACATTTAGTAAAAGCAAATAAATTCCAGTACTATATAAAGTATTTGGACAAATAGGGAAAGAAGAAGTCTTACCAAATTCCTTCTATGACACAAATGGTGCTGATACTTAAATGAGGAAGACCAAAAACAAATATAGAAAAATATAGACACATTTCGCTAATGAATATTGAAGCAAAAATTGTTAATAAAATACTAGCAAGGAGATTACAACAACACATCACAAAATTCATACACTATGACCAAGTGGGATTTATACAAAGAATGTAAATTGGTTCAATATTTGCAAACTATACGTGCAATTGACCAAATTGTTAACAAAAATGACACAATTCCTATGATTATTTCAATAGATGCAGAAAAAGCTTTTGCTAAAATACAACATTAATTTCTATTAAAAACTCTGGAAAGCATAGCAAGAAATGCATATTTCCTTAAAATAGTAAGTAGTATCTATTTAAAAGCATCAGCAAGCATTACTTCTAAGAGGGATAAGCCAGAACTTTCCCAATAAAGTCAGAGGTGAAACAAAGATGTCCATTATCACCACTATTATTCAATATCATATTCGAAATGCTAATTACAGCAATAAGAAAAGAAAAAGAAGTTGAAGGTATTAGAATAGACAATGGGGAAACATTATCATTCTTTGTGGGTGATACCATACTTAGAGAATCAACTAAAATTAATTGAAATAATTAATAATTTTAGCAAAGCCACAGGCTACAAAATAAAACTACAGAAATCATTAGAATTTCTTTATATTACCAACAATATCCAGCATGAAGAGTTCTTTAAAAAATCAATTTAAAGTAACTGCAGGCAATATAAATTACAGGGGAGTTTACCTGCCAAGTCAGATCAAGCAACTATATGAACACCCTTATGAAACATGTTTTACTAAAATAAAGTCTTATCTAAATAATTGAAAAATATTAATTGCTCATGGGCAGGCTGAGATGATATAAGAATAACATTTCTATTTTACTTAATTATTCAGCATCATACTAATCAAACTACCAAAAATTATTTTTTTCAAGATAGAAAATAATAAAAAATTTCTTCTGGAAAATAACAGGTCAAGAATACCAAGGGAATCAGTAGAAAATAAATGTGAAGGAAGGTAGCTTAGCAGTACCAGATGTCAAACTGTATTAGAAAGTAGTAATCAGCAAAACAATCTTGTACTGCCTACGAAATAGAGTGGTGGATCAGTAGAATAGATTAGATATGCAATACATGGTGATAAATGACCATAGTAATCTTATGTTTAATAAACTCAGTGACTCAAACTTTTTAGACAAGAACTCACTATCTGAGAAAAAAAATTGCTGGGAAAACTGAAAAGCAGTTTGGCAAAACCTAGGTATTAGTTAAACATATCTTATCATAAACCAAGTTGACATCAAAATCGGTACATGACTTCTACATAAAGGGAGATGTCTAATTAGTGAATCTAGAATATCTTACCTGTCAGGTTTATGGACAAGGAAAGAATTTATGACCAAAATAAAAGATGAAAACATTATGTGATATAAAATTGATAATTTTGATGACATTAAATTAGGAGAAGGAATAGTTTACTAATCATATCTATGGAGAAGGGAAGAATTTATGACCAAACAAGTGATAGGGAACATTATAAAATGCAAAATGAAAGTTTTGATTACATTAAATTAAAGAGGTTTTACACAAACAAAGCCAATGTAACCAAAATTAGAAAGGAAGCAGATAATGTGAAACAAATTTTACTGCCAGTGTTTCTGATAAAGGCTTCATTTATAAAATAAATAGTGAACTGAATCAAATCTATAAGAATGTAAATCATTCCCCAAATGATAATTGGTCAAAGGATATGAACAGGCAATTTTCAGATGAGGAAATTAAAGTTTTCTACAGTTATATGAAAAAAATGCTCTAAATCATTATTGATTATAGAAATACAAATTGAAATGACTCTGAGGTACCACTTCATACCTATCAGATTGTCTAATATGATGGAAAACAAAAATGATAAATATTGGAGATGTGGGAAAATTGGAAAACTAATGTATTGTTGGTGGAGTTGTGAACAGATCTAACCATTCTGGAGAGAAATTTGGAGCTATGCCCAAAAGGGCTATAAAACTGTGTATACCCTTTGACCCAGCAGTATTTTGTAGATTTATATTCCAAAAGAGATCATAAAAAGTGGAAAAGGACCCACATGCACAAAAATGTTTATAGCAGCTCTCTTTCTGGGGACAAAGAATCAGAAATTAAGAGAGCGCTCATCAATTGGGAAATGGCTGAACAAATTGTGGTATATGGATGTAATAGAATACTGTTGTGCTGTAAGAAAATGATAAGCAGGTGGGTTTCAGACAAACCTGGAAAGAATTACATTAACTGATGCTGAGCGAAGTGAGTAGAACCAGGAGAACATTGTACATAATAACAGCAAAATTGTGTGATGATCAGCTTTGATAGACTTGGCTCTTCTGAGGAATACAGTGATCTAACACATGGGTGGGGAACCTGCAGCCTCAAGGCCACACATGGCCTTTTAGTTACTCAAGTGCAGCCCTTTGACTGAATCCTTTAAGGATTTGTTATGTGAAGTTTGTATTCAGTCAAAGAGCTACACTTGAGGATCTGGAGGGCCACATGTGGCCTTGAGGCTGCAGGTTCCCCACCCTTGAATTCTGAGACGATTCCAAAAGATTCACAAGTGGAAAATGTTATCCACATCCAGAGAAAGAACTATGGAGCATGAATGCAAATCAAAGCTTACTATCTTCCCTTTTTTTCACTTCCTCATGATTTTT